GTTATTTATTGACATATTTTGTTTGTTTTTTATTGTCCTATTTATTTCCTGTTTATTGTCCTATTTTTGTCATGTTTATTATCATGTATGTTGTCATATTTCTTGTCCTGTTTATAGTCCTATTTTTGTTCTATTTATTGTCATATTTATTGTTATGTTTATTGTCCTATTTATTGTCATATTTCTTGTCTTATTTCTTGTTCTATTTTATTGTCCTATTTATTTGTCCTATTTATTGTCATGTTTATTGTCCTATTTATTGTCATATTTATTGTCCTATTGTTTGTTTTTACAGCATTTCCGAGCCCTGGCAGAGGAGAATAAGTTGGACAATGATCTGAAGGACATCGACGGAGCCGATAGATTTGTCTTGTGATGTGTGTGTGCATGTTTGGGGCCAATAGATTTGTCTTGTGATGTGCGTTTGTATGTGTGAGTGTGTGTGGGAGGGGCCGACAGATTTGTCTTTTTTATTTTTATCAGATTTTTTTCATAAAATTGTGAAGAAAAACTGAAATATATTGTTTTTTATTATTGTTGTTGTTTTGTTTTGTTTGGGGTTTTTTTTGGGGGGGGTAACAGAAAAATACTATAAAAAGATTTTTCTACTCGGCTTAATGTCACTCTCATTCTTTCCGTCCATTTTTCTTCTATATTTCAACTATACTTGTAGAAACTATGCTGTTTGAAATGTTGAAAAACGTATCTTGAAAAGAAAATTCTTTCTGGAATTTTAATGATAATAGAAATGTTCCTATTCATTTATGAGACGATTGATTGAACTGATGGCAAGAATGTGATTATATTTATTATTATGTTTCTGACAGGAATTATTAAAGTGGTTGCCTGTTTATTGACACGTTTTATTCTTGGGTTGTTTGGGTTTTTTTCTGTGCTTGTTTCAGGTTCTTTTGTCTAGAACAGTGGGTGGTTGGCGGGTGCTCTGGTGTGGTTTGCTCCTTCTTTCCTATCAAACATCTATCGTCCTTATCTCTACTCCTTCTTTTTTGTGTATGTTACTCTCTTGTAACACCTCTAATCTTCGGCACTTATATGACCTTATTGTGTTGCGATTGCCGTAAAACTCTTACTAAAACTAGACTGTCTAGAAGAGTAGAAGTTATCTGGGGTGTGATTTCTGGCTTATTGGGCCAGTGTGTGGGATCTACACACTCACGCGCACACACACACACACACGCACATGCACACACACACACACACACACACACACACACACACACACAACCCTAAGACCCACACACATTCTCACATACAAAAACTGGAGTGAAAGAGTATACGCGGCTAGTGATAAACGTAGTGTGAACTTGTTTCTGTGTGAAGTGTGAACTCTTCCTTCTGTATCTAGTGTGAACTCTTCTCTCTCTGTAGTGTGAACTGTTGTTTCTGTAGTGTGTGTAGTGTGAACTATTCCTTCTGCTATTACTTCTGGGTGTAGTGTGAACTGTTCTCTCTCTGTAGTGTGAACTGTTGTTTCTGTGGTGTGTGTGGTGTGAACTATTCCCTCTGTATGTAATGTTAACAATTCCCTCTCTGTGTGTACTGTGAACTGTTGTTTTTGTAGTGTGAACTATTCCAACCGTGTTTACTGTGAACTATTACTATTAGGCCTACTTCTATGATATTGCGACGTGAACGCTGGGGCGAAATAGCGGGTGGTTTGCTCCTTCTTTCCTATCAAACATCTATCGTCCTTTTCTCCCCTCCTTCTATTTTGTGTTTGTTACTCTCTTGTAACACCTCTAATCTTCGGCACTTATATGACCTTATTGTTTTGTAAGTGCCGTAAAACTCTTACTAAAACTACTAAAACTAATCTGGGGCGAGAGAGCTCGCACAGAACGTGGAGAAAAGAGAAGGGCGTGTTCAATAGTAAATAGGAAATGGAGGACACGCCCACGCCGAGGAGAGCTTGCCGGACATTGAAATGTCACGGAGTCCTGCACACACACACACACACACACAACACACATAATTATTACAGGTATAATGATATATTATTGATCTCATCATACGTGAAGTCCGGTAGGCCTATCTCTATCAACTATATCATTATATTATCATTCTTTACCGGGCCGAAGGTCTTGCTCAGTTCCTCTGTGCGCGGTTGGCGGGTGCTCTGGTGTGGTCTAATGCTTCTTCTTTCCTATCAAACATCTACATAATATATCGTATTTATCTCTCCTCCTTCTTTTTTTATGTTTGTTACTCTCTTGTAACACCTCTAATCTTCTGGCGCTTGTATGACCTTATTGTGTTGCGAGTGCCGTAAAACTAAAACACCAAAAACAACAACAACCAACCTCTCCTCCTTTTTTGTGTTTGTTACTCTCTTGTAACACCTCTAATCTTCGGCACTTATATGACCTGGTTATGTTGCAAGTGCCGTAAAACTCTTACTAAAACGAAAACGATCACATCACATGTGAAGTCCGCGTTGTCTATCAACATCATAATTTACTGGACCGTGAGTCTTGCTGGATCAGATCAGAGAGGGTTTACAGTAATATTACTGTAAACTCTCTGATCAGATCCTCTGTTGGTCCGCACAGCAAGACCGAAATGGTGTACAAATGTACTATGGTCGCTTTTAAGCACAAGGGGGTTATCCCGAAAAATGCTGTTTTGAGAAATTTGAAGGTAAAGTTTTTGCCCCTTGTTCAGTTTCTTGAAAAGACAAGGAGAGTTATTGTCTCTATAACCGAACAAAAAATATACACACCAATGAAACCAAACTTCTCCTATAAGTAGGCCAATGCCCATTGTTGCGTATGTCATAATTTCAGAAAAGCCCCGAAATCTGGGTTAGCCCGCTTGTCCTAAAAAGCGACCAGTTATAGATATAGTTCCAAGTTGATCATTGCGTACGTGTACGAATTTATGCTGCGTCACGCCATGTGTGCACAAGGGAGAGATCGTAGAGAGATGAGCTGGATAGATACCTGTACATGTGCAGTACTTTGGTTTAAGCAAACGGATGCTTGGTGGCACTTAAAACTCAATAAGGTTTTTATTATGTAATATATAATATAAAGGACGAAGATAAGAAGTGTTAGAAGAGAATGACAAACGCTTAAAAGAAGGAGAAGAGATAAAAGGACGATATAGATCTAGAGATGTTTGACAGAAGAAAGAATTATAATAGGAGCAAACCCCAGGACCAGCTGAGCACCCGCCAATCACCCACAAATTTTATCATATATGTATATATATATATATATATACATATATATATATATTATATATATATATATCATGGCATTACAATCGCAATGCAGTTTGGTGTTTGATACAAATCCACTCAATGACCTACGAGTGACCTTGACCTGTCAAATATGTCTGCGCAACATGAGACAACAACAATTTAATAAAGACTTAGGCCTAGTTTTAGTTTAGTAAGTTTTTACCAGGGTTTTATACGGCGCTCGCAACTGGATAAGGTCATATAATGAGCGCCAAATTTATTTTTAAGACTTATGACATCGTTACAGGAAAAAAAGTTTGAATGAAAGGTAGGCACTGGGTGCTAGATAGCTACCGCATATCTATGTTTAGAATCTAATTGTTCCTTTTCTCAACTTGTGGTTATTATACAGATCATGTATTAAATAAGTAACTTTAAAAAAATATTGTATGTAAACTCGATCCCCACCAATAACAGCCTGGGATCTAGAGTGATAAAATATATTAAAGTTATCATTATCATGTCGGTCGGTCTTGGAAGATTACAATATAGAATCTACTATTATATCATGGCATGAATTCCAGTCGTTTTCTTTATTCTCCAGCTGTTGCTTCCTAGACTTGCTTTTTTCCTAACCCAAAACGACCGCTTTTGTGTCCAAATGTTAATGATCTTCCCTCAAAATGACACTTCAGCCTGGGAACACAAACAATAACCACGGAGCCCCCGCCTAATGTACTGACACAACTCTGGGAATCGATAATCAAGAAGTATCGGAGAGTATTTCGCTATAAAAAGCATTGGTATCGAGGTGACCAACTGCATGAGCGGATACAGAGAGAGAGCTTTTTGTCCTCATATTCGACCCCGTGATTTTGTTGTCTGCATAAACAAAAGACTCTAGGCCTGGGCTACCCGTCTCTCGTGGTGTTTTCTTAGTCCGTGTGACTGTGGGACCTCTGTGGTTTGGTCTTTCTGGAAGCGTACGTAGTGCTACTCTAGCATGACTAAGCAAAAGCAGTCAAGTACCTGCCTGGAAGACTTGGAGCGATAACAAGAACATGACGTTCTGAACTGTTATCAGTCTTGCTTCCTGTCATATCATTGTAAGTTCCCCGGTACTTCTATCGTTATTATCACCAACAACTGCACTGCGTGATCCATGCCTGATGTGTGAAGAGGGTCCGTTTTGACTTTGAGAGATAATAGTGGGTTTCAATGTTTGCCAGATCAGAGTAGAGTCAGTGTGGCCTTACCGCCTTTCGCGTTGACACAAAACTAGGTCTACTGAACTTGTCTTCGTCTGCGTGGGATGAATTGAAGATCCAGTTTCGAGGACAGTTTTATTGACAGTGTACACAAAGTGTGAGTTTCCTATTCCTAATCAAGGCTAGACTAATCTAATCTAATCTTTTGACTGATGAAATGGGACACTGTTCCAGGTCCCCATGTTGTTGACTTTCCCTTCCATTCACATTTCCCAGTTGGGAAAACATCGGACCTAAATTTTTACTTTCACTCCCGCACACACAGAGTACAGAGATGCACTGCTTCGGGTGCTTTTTCGGTAGTTCCCACCCCCCTTATTTGAGCCTGACCTACATCTAGATCTAGATCTATATGTTTGATTCGCAGCGAGCTAAGATATAAAATCTAACAAAACTGCAAAACATTAAACTGTGGTAAAATTCAGGTACGGCTAGCCTCTTCCAATATAAAAATATGGGTTAAAACAGGGGGGCATGCCATGTTACGTCGCTTCCTAGTCGACCTAGATCTAGATCTAGTACAGAGGAAGATGCCGAGTGAATCTGTCTGCTTGTCGCAGTGAATGAGAACAGATTTTAAATACTGGAGAAAGAAAATTAGAACCTTCTTCTGTGTGTTTTCATGGTTCGGCTCCTGACCTTGTCCGTAAAGTCATTAGTTGAATGCCTGAAGGGGGAAAGTGTGTGGTAGGTTGGCGGATGCTCTGGTGTGGTTTGCTTCGTCTTTCCTATCAAACATCTATCGTCCTTTATCTCTCCTCCTTCTTTTTTGTGTTTGTTACCCTCTTGTAACACCTCTAATCTTCAGCAGTTATATGACCTAATTGTGTTGCAAGTGCTGTAAAACTCAAATCTTAAGAAAACTAAAAACACTAAAAGCGTGTGTCATAATTCCCTGCATGTTTACTGTAAGCCTAAATCATGCAGGATTTAAGGCTAGGGTATGCTTTGAATACATCCATTCATGTTTCATACGCTTTAGAAATGGAAACGTAGAAGTGAACAGCCATTGAAAAAAAAAAAAAATTAATAAAAAGAAAAAGCCATGCACTCAAACCTGGGAAAAAAAATTTAATCAATGCAGATGCAGTGTCGTTGGTCTCCCCACATGTCTTGACTGCTGATACGCTCATTATACTTATACACAGTGCGTGCTACACAGTACACAGTGCGTGTAACACAGTACACAGTGCGTGTAACACAGTACACAGGTCGTGTGTAACAAAGTACGCAGGTCGTGTGTAACACAGTACACAGGTCGTGTGAAACACAGTACACAGGTCGTGTATAACCCAGTACGCAGGTCGTGTGTAACACAGTACGCAGGTCGTGTGTAACACAGTACGCAGGTCGTGTGTAACACAGTACGCAGGTCGTGTGAAACACAGTACGCAGGTCGTGTGTACAGTACGCAGGTCGTGTGTAACACAGTACTCAGGTCGTGTGTAACACAGTACACAGGTCGTGTGTAACACAGTACACAGGTCGTGTGTAACACAGTACGCAGGTCGTGTGTAACACTGTACATGGTCCTGGGTGTCAAATCTAGGCTAGGTCACAAGGACTGACACAGCTCAGTGGAAGAAACTGAGACCTTGGGATTCATTTTCTTGTAATCACGTTTGTAATTTTTACAATTTACGTCACAGCATGATGGAATCAGAGGTGCATATCATTATCAATTTAGGGGCATATGGCATGGAGTTATTAACTTATAGGGTATCATCTTGAAGCTTACATATATTGTCTTGCTTTTGATGTAACAAATACTCGTCTATCTTGAATAGAAGTTTTGATACATATATATATTTCATTGAAGGAGGTGAGGGTCAACCTGTTTCAGAGACAAAATGAGCGAGAAAATAGAATATGTGGCGGGTGGTACTTGAAAGTGTTCTGGAAGGAGATGGCTGTGTTGTGAGTGGTATGTTAATTGTGTTCAATAACACTGCAAACTGGTCAAAGTGGGTGTTTGGCAGGTGCTCTGGTGTGGTTTGCTCCTTCTTTCCTATCAAACATCTCTATATAGTCCTGATCTCTTTTTCGTGTTTGTTACTCTCTTGTACCACCTCTAATCTTCCGCACTCATATGACCTTATTGTGTCGCAAGTGCCGTAAAGCTCTTTTGAAAACAAGAAGATGCTTCTCTAAAAGAAAAGATTATCTAGATCATGTTGTTCTTCTCTTCTTGTGATTCAGTTCTGTTTTGTTTTTTTAAATTGTTTTTTCTTTCTATTGTTCTCTCGTATAGAAGGCGACGTGAATACCTAGCAGCCGGGATTTGGGACACTGTTCGTGGACCGACCTTCCCCTCGTGTCTGATGACCTTGACAAAGTCCTGCCACAGAGAACTGACGTGCCACATTTCTTTACGCGAACTGAAAGACCCGATCCTCACGTTTGTGTGTGTATGACCAGTGATTGGATGAATTCATTTGACTGTTGTCTAAATCGACCAAAGTGATTTTTAAAAAACTTTTGAGAAATTCCTCTTATAATTGCTCTGGGTGAAGTTTATGCTGAGTGACTACCGATTTTAAAGCTTTAACATTCGCAGAAAAAACGAAAATTTAAACCCTAATTTTTTTACCTGTTATTACCTGTCCTGGGCAACAACGTCATTGCACACCGGACAGGTCCATAAGTGCTCAGTGCCTCCCAGCACCAAAGCGCGCTAGGTATCCATACTGAACATTCCAAACAGACATTGGAAAAGGAAATCATGGCGACAGGAGGGAATTCGCGGAGTTACCAGGATGAGGCGCAGCCGTTTTTGACTCGTGACGGGGGTGGAGACAGCGATGACCCGGAGCTCTTTGAGTATGAGGATAAGCTACACAACAAACGGAGGTGAGTGGGTGGTTGGGGGGTACTCCGGTGCGGTTTGCTCCTTCTTTCCTATCAAACATCTATCGTCTTTATCTCCCCTCCTTCTTTTTTTGTGTTTTTTACTCTCTTGTAACACCTCTAATCTTCGGCACTTATAAATATGACCTTATTGTGTCGCAAGTACTGTAAAACTCTTACAGTTCACGCTGCTGGAATCTTCTGTGATATATGTATATATATGTCATGATACATATGTCTTTCTTTTCATAGCTGCTAGAATCTTCTGTGCTGATTATAATTATCTTTTGTGTTTATTTGTAACGGTTATGAAGGATTGTGTTTGTAACCGTTATGAAGGATTGTGTTTGTAACCATTATGAAGGATTGTGTTTGTAACTGTTATGAAGGATTGTGTTTGTGATCGTTATGAAGGATTAGTGTTTGTAACGGTTATGAAGGATTGTGTTTGTAACCGTAACCGTTATGAAGGATTGTGTTTGCAACGGTTATGAAGGATTGTGTTTGTAACCGTTATGAAGGATTGTGTTTGTAACCGTTATGAAGGATTGTGTTTGTAACCGTTATGAAGGATTGTGTTTGTAACCGGTTATGAAGGATTGTGTTTGTAACCGTTATGAAGGATTGTGTTTGTAACCGTTATGAAGGATTGTGTTTGTAACCGTTATGGATTGTGTTTGTGATCGTTATGAACGATTGTGTTTGTTAATTGTGACCGTTATGAATTTCTTGTTCTCTTCACTTGACCTAGTTCTGGCACTCCGCGCGGGAGGATCAGGTATTTCTTTCTATCTCGATGTTGCATGTCGTGTGTACACACTAGACTCTTTAACACTTTCTCTAAAAAAAAATTCTGTCTAAATTTGTGGCAGGGGCCACTTACAGATCGAACATTAGGTCGCTTTTAAGGACAAGCGGGCTCACACAGATGTCGGGGGTTTCCAGAAATCTTGACTTACTCCAAAAGTGGGCATTGTCCTTCCTATAGGAGAAGTTTGGTTTCACTGGTGTGTGTTTCTTTGTTTGGTTATAGAGAAAATTCTCCTGGTCTTTTAAAGAAACTGAAAAAGGCAAAAACTTTACCTTCAAATTTCTCAAAACAGCATTTTTCGGGATAGCCCCCTTGTGCTTCAAAGCGATCATTTGTGAAGTGTGTTGACTAAATGAGTTGCTTCTCTCACAACCCCTGAGTGGAGACGTCGGCCGAGAATAGATATAAGCTACATCAAATGTGTAGGTTTTAAAGGGATGCCATTTTTTCTTCCAGTTAGACATGTCTTTTATCATTTCATATATAAATTATAATAACTTGTACAAACCCAACCTATACATGTGGGTGGTTGGCGGGTGCTCTGGTTTGGTTTGCTTCTTCTTTCCTATACTATCAAACATCTATCGTCCTTATCTCCCCTCGCTTCTTGTTTTATGTTTGTTACTCTCTTGTAACACCTCTAATCTTCTGGCGCTCCTATGACCTTATGCAGTTGCGAGCGCCGTAAAACTTCTACTAAAAGGAACAAAACAACGTATACATTCCATGTATCAATCTGTGTCCGTAGGGGTAACATCCGAGATTTCCCTCATTTTGTCAGCACATGTCCCACTAATTGTTTGTTCCCACTCTTCGTCACTACCTCAACGTGACACAGTTCTCTCTGCTGCTTAGTAGGGGCCTATCAAGTTTGGAGAAATTTGTTGGCGAAGATTTTGAGTTTCAGAGAGAACATTTGGTTTCTGACCTCATGGTCTTACTACAAGACTTAATAACTTAAAACGACTTAAAACGTCAGATAGAACTTTGCAATTTTGAGGTAGCGTCTTGTGCCTGTGGAAAACGTTTCTCACATTTCTGATTTCCATGTATATTTTTTTTAACATTTCTGATTTCCTCACGTACATTTCTTCAATATTTTTTTTATTTATTTCCTCGCATCTTTCACTAAAGTATGTGTACAAAGTAGACTACTGACTCATTGCTGTGTTGTGGTGTTGTGACTTAATTTTGCATGTAGTGTGTGTGTGTGTAGTGTGTGTGTGTGTTTGTGTCTGTGTATCTGTCTACCTGTGTGTCTGTGTACCCGTGTACCTGTGTGTCTGTGTGTCTGTGTACCTGTATACCTGTGTGTCTGTGTATCTGTTTGTCTGTCTACCCGTGTACCTGTGTACCCGTGTACCTGTGTGTCTGTGTATCTGTCTACCTGTGTACCTGTGTACCCGTGTACGTGTGTGTCTGTGTACCTCTATACCTGTGTACGTATGTGCCTGTGTACCTGTATACCTGTGTACCTGTATACCTGTGTGCCTGTGTGCCTGTGTGTTACTTTTTTGCGAGTGTACATCGATGTCTCCCTGAACTTATCCCGTCCAACTGAGTTCTTTAACGGCCATGAAAGGTGTTGCGCCAAAAAACAAAATTTTGATAAAAATTCACAAACCTGCGGAAAAATGCAAGTTTCTTCACTTTGATTAGTTTGACGAGAGCCTGATTCCACCGCGCTGCCTCACAATTGTGGACGGCTTTCTACATCGGAACAGTTGGCAGACAACTACAGATTTACTACATTTTCCAACAGTCACCGTGGCTGGTTTGACAGAACCGTCAACTATTTTATTTCAAATTTACTGCATTCGTCAATTTTTTTGAAAATATTTTACAGCATGCGTGAGGAATGGGGAAGCAGATGTCAAATCAGGAAATAGGCTACATTACTGTTAGACAATAGCTCAAGCTTTGAATGAAAAAACAAAAAAGCATGATTTTTTAATGTCGATGTTGGAAATGTTTTCCAAGGCAGCGTGGGGGATAACTAGGCCGCTGCCGTGCCCTCATGGCTCACTCGAACCAGTGCTCGAGGGGAATATAATATTGTTCTATATTTGTGATGTTTCATTAAAAAAATTTTTTTTTTTTATAGTAGAGGGTTTTGCAGCGCTCGCAACTGCATAAGGTCATATGAGCGCCAGAAGATTAAAGGTGTTACAAGAGAGTAACAAACACAAAAGAAGAAGGGGAGTTAAGGACGATAGATGTTTGATAGGGAAGAAGAAGCAAACCACACCAGAGCACCCGCCAACCACCCACTTTTCAGAGTTTGTAGTGTAACGGTGGAGATTAATAATAATAATAATAATAAGAAGAAGAAGAAGAAGAAGAAGAAGAAGAAGAAGAAGAAGAAGAAGAAGAAGAAGAAGAAGAAGAAGAATGATAATAATAATAAATAGCATAAATTGTATTGCGCATGTCCCCACTCGAAAGCCAGCTCTGTGCGCTTTACACTATAATATTACCCCAGCACTACAATAGAACACCCAGAAACATTCTCAGCTTCCCGGGAAGCATACAGAACAAGCAGCTGATTTTAAAGCGCTCAAACTCTAACAAACTGACATGGCCGGGTACCCATTCCCACCTGGGTGAAGTGAGGAAGATTCGTGTAAAGTGCCTTTCCCAGGGACACAACGTCGGGCCCACAACCTCACGATTACGAGTCCGGATTGTGTTTGTAACCGTTATGAAGGATTGTGTTTGTAACCGTTATGAAGGATTGTGTTTGTGATCGTTATGAACGATTGTGTTTGTTAATTGTGACCGTTATGAATTTCTTGTTCTCTTCACTTGACCTAGTTCTGGCACTCCGCGCGGGAGGATCAGGTATTTCTTTCTATCTCGATGT